CATGAGGCTAGCGCCGTCTTAGCTAACATTCAGAAGCACCAGAAGCACCTTGCTCTCTTGGACGCTTGAACGCGCGGCTCTGGCATGGGTGTCTCGGGCGCTCCTGGGCCCGACGAAGTACCCCGGCGCTCACTGGATCAGGCGGAGCTCCGAGAAGCCCAGCTTTCGGCTCAAAGGGGCGCTTCCTGGAAGGCCTGGGCAAGGTCGAGCAGCCTTGCGCGAGTTGCAATCCGCCCCCGCCGCGCCGCGCTCTCTCTCAGCGGTCCGCGCCTGGCGGCGCGGAGACGCTCTGCCTGGAGCGCGTTGTGCCCTGGATGCCCTGCGAGAGCTGCTTTGAGCTCGGAGGCGAACGGCCCCGCGGAGCTCCCAGACACGTTCGAGCATGTCGGTCGCCTTGCGCAGGCAGCGGGCAGATTCTTACCTTGGCGCCCGTGCTGCGCTTGAAGCACCCTGCTGGCGCCCCCTCCGTTTGGCCCCGCCGCCGGACCACCACCGCGGGACGGGCCCAGTTCTGCGATGAAGTCCCGGCAGGAAGAGGAGGAGGAGGAGGAGGAGGAGGAGGAGGAGGAGGAGGAGGAGGAGGAGGAGGAGGAGGGGGAGGGGGAGGGGGAGGGGGAGGGGAGGGGGAGGGGGAGGAGGGGACAAGTTAGGTGCGCTCGCGTCAACATCTGACATCCTACCCCTCCCTCCCATCCCTTACCATGGCGCTGATTTTCTATCCGCGGACGCGTGTCGTAGCGGACCTGTGGCTCCGCGCGCGTGTGCGTAGTGGGTGGTGGTGCGCGTGCGTGCGTGCGTGTGTGCGTGGTTGTGGTTGTTGTGGTGGTGGTGTGTATGTGTGTGTGTGCGTGTGTGCGCGTGTGCTGTGGTGTGACGTGGTGTGGCGTCTTGGTGGTTTGGTGGTGGGCCAGGTGCGTACGTGCGTGATGGCGGTGGTGGTGGTGGCGGTGGTGGTGTGTGTGTGTGTGTCTGTGTGTGTGTGCGTGTGTGTGTGTGTGTGTGTGTGTGTGTGCGTGCGTGCGTGTGTGTCTGTGTGTGCGCGCGTGTGATGTGGTGTGACGCGGTGTAGCGTGGTGGTGGTGGGTGGGGTAGTGCGGTGGTGGTGGCGGTGCGCGGTGGTGGTGCGCGTGCGTGCGTGCGTGCGTTGGTGGGTGGAAGTGGCGGTGGGTGTGCGTGCGGCGGGGCGGGGCGTGGTGCGGCGCGGTGGTGGCGGGCGGATGGGCGCGCGAGAAAGAGGCCCGCGCTGGGGCGAGAACGCCATCCTGAACGACGGAGGCAAAACACCGATCCGAAAATGTGGCCCACGCTGCAGCGGGAGCACGATTCGGAACGATTCGGGAGCAGAAATGAGGCCGGCGCCTCAGCGAGAGCAGCATTTTGAAAAAAACGCAGGCGAAAACCCAACTCCCTGGAATCTTGTGTGTAAAAAAAACAGTACGCGGGGGGGGGTCGAATATTCCCAGCACGCCATCAGGGGAAGAGGGAGAGTAGTATTCATATTGAGTAATTGTGGAGGAGGAGGAGGAGGAGGAGGAGGAAGAGGAGGAGGTGTCCTCGGCCCAGGGCGGCGCCAAGCACCGCTGCAGGCCAAGGGCGCCCACGGCGGTTCGTATCCACATGTTTCTTTAGGCTCTCCTCCCTTGCGCAGCCACGTTGCACAAGTCTCGTCGGCCAGCTTTCGGCCTCGGCTCGGATGCTAGACCCTGGTCGCCCCTCGTGCACTCCACACCCTTGTCTTCCTCATCCGTATCTTCCCCAGCGGTACCTGAACCATTCTTGCAGGTGCACATTCAGCAATATCCCTGGTGGCTCGAAGATGTGTTCCTACTCCTGGATCCTCCTCCTCCTCCCCCTCCTCCTCTCCCTCCTCCTCGTCCTCCTCCTCCTCCTCCTCCTCCTACCTCCTCCTCCTCCTCCTCCTCCTCCTTCCTCCTCCTGTGATGGCGACTATGGTACACTGCGCAGGCTTCTCATACTGCCTCATTTTCACATACGGTTTCGCCTCCATCGGCACGGCGGGGCGCAACCTCAGTCGAGACCACAAGCTCGGCGGACTCCAGCTCGCGCCCCGGGTTCCCTGGATATGCCTGGGCGACTGGAGCCTCGAGCCTCGGGTCGTCGCCAAGTGCTTTGCCGACCAGATGGGCGGCCAGATCACCTCGCCCGACGGACGTCGCCTACACTTGCGACTCTGGCGAGAAGGGCAGATTGCTGGACTACCGCTGGGTCAGCGAGCCCGCCGCCTGCTGCATCCTGCCCGTGGTGCCAGTGCTGGACGCGCCGTGGCGCCCGCGCATCGGGCTGGTGCTCCAGGTTCGCAGCCCGGGTGCCCAGCTTCTCTCCCGCCGTCTCGAGCACAGAGGCCGGCTTCCCCAGGTCGGCCGACCAAGGAGGCTGGCACCCCCCGGGTCCAAGGCCCCCAGGGCCCAGTCCGAGCGGGCCCTTGCTGCACGCAAGGCCTCTGGGAAGCGCGTGGAAAGGATTCTGGTATTCGCGGCGCCGTCTCGACCTCTGTTCCACAATGGAGCGGGGAGCCTCGGGGGGCGAAACCGACCTTCCCGAGGACGGCAGGTCCAACGAGTTCCTCCTCCTCCTCCTCCTCCTCCTCCTCCTCCTCCTCCTCCTCCTCATCATCATCTTCATCCTTCTCCGTTTCCATACCTTTTCCTTACAGATCTGTTTCCCCTGTCGCACCCCAGGCCCGTCGAAAGGAAAGGGCGGGCCGGGCGTTTCGCCTGAGATTTCCTCACCAGTCATGAACTTGAAGCTCAAAAGTTGGTGACAGTTTCACAGATGGAGGGCGGGGGCTTTCAAAATGTGGTTATCGCTTTAGCGCCGCGCACATTCGTCTTACATAGTTGCAAGAGCTTCACGGATTGAGGGCGGATGGTTTTCAAAATGCGATTATCGCCGTAGCGCCGCGCACATTCGGTTTGACAATGTGCAAGAGCTTCACGGATTGAGGGCGGGTGGTTTCAAAAATGTTGTTATCGCTTTAGTGCCGCGCATATTCGTCTCAAAACTTACAGGAGCTTCATGGCTTGAGGGCGGCTCCTTTTCGAAATGTGGCCCTCGCCTCAGCGCCACGCACACTCGCCTCAAGACTTTGCAAGGGGCTCGCGAATTATCATGGTTAACATTCCAGAAAATGGTGTTTGGGAACGATTCAAGGTTGCCAGGGCGCAGCAGTGAGTTTGATTCGCGGTGCTGATATCCCAGGAGCGGCGTTCTGGCACGATTCAGGATCGCCAAGACGCAACCGTCAGATTGACTCGTGGTGTTGAAGCCCTGAGAGTTGCGCTTGTCCCTGTTGAAGTCTTGAGAATTCGCACGTCAAGAGTTTCCCACGGTTATCCCCCAACGGCGCACGTCCCTCAGCGGAAATGAACCTTTGCATAGGGGTCTCTGACGAGGGAGCTTGGAGGGTGCATTCCAACATGATTGGTTAGTCTTGGGGACTCTGGTCCTCCTCCACTTCCTCCTCCTCCTCCTCCTCCTCCCACACCTCCTCCTTCTCCCCCTCCTCCTCCTCTTCCTTCTCCTCCTCCTCCTCCTCCTCCTCTTCCTCCTCCTCCTCCTTCTGTACCTCCTCCTCCTCCTCCTTCTCCGCCTCTTCCTGCTCCTGGTCCTCCTCCTCCTCCTCCTCCTCCCCCTCCTCCTCCTCCTCCTCCTCCTCCTCGTCCCCCTCCTCCTCCTCCTCCTCCTCCTCCTCCTCCTCCTCCTCCTCCTCCCTCTCCTCCTCCTCCTCTCCTCCTCCTCCTCCTCCTCCTCCTCTTCCTCCTCCTCCTCCTCCTCCTCCTCCTCCTCCTCCTCCTCCTCCTCCTCCTCATCTCTTCCTTCCTCCTCCTCCTCCTTCCTCCTCCTCCTCCTCCTCCCTCCTCCTCCTCCCTCCTGCTCCTCCTGCTCCTCCTCCTCCTCCTCCTCCTCCTCCTCCTCCTCCTTCCTCCTCCTCCTGCGCCTGCTCCTCCTCCTCCTCCTCCTCCTCCTCCTCCTCCTCCCTCCTCCCTCCGCCTCCTCCTCCTCCTCTTCCTCCTCCTCCTCCTCCTCCTCCTCCTCCTCCTCCTCCTCCTCCTCCTCCCTTCTCCTCTTCCTTCTCCTCCTCCTCTTACTTCTTACTGCACGCGAGAAGGAAAACATACAGATCCTGGCGAAGGGCCTCAACATGTGCAGGTGCGACTGCCGAGGGGCAAGTGTGCAGAAGGAGGGGGCGGTGGCGCCACGCGGGCGTTGCCATGGGGACCTTCGGTGGAACTTCCTGTGGGGCCACGAAGCGTGCGATGGGGGTGCCAACATGGGGCGGTGGCGCCATGCGGGCGCGGCCATGTGGGCCTTCGGTGGAGCTGCCCATGGGGCCACGAAACGTGCGCGAGGGGTGTGCCAATAAGAGGCGACGGCGCCATGCGGGCGCTGCCATTTGGGCCTTCGTCGGGGCTCCCAATGGGGCCACTAAACGTGTGAGGGGCGTGTCGAAATGGACACGCGCACGACTGAGGCAGGGATGGAGGAAGGGAGGAGGGGGAGGAGGAGAGAAGAGGATGCGGGGCGCTGTTTCTCCGAAACGAGGACCCAACACTACAGGCTGGTTGGGAGTTACACTTGCCAATCGCGGAGAAAGACGAGCATGCGGCGGGTAGAGCGCGGGCGTGATCGAGGTTCGACAGCGAGAACGTGGGGACAACGAAGGGGAAGGAGGAGGGCGAGATGGAGGGGGAGCGAGGATGTGGAGATGGAGGACGTGGTGGACTGGGAGGAAAAGGAGGAGGAGGAGGAAAAGAAGAAGAAGAAGAAGGGGGAGGAGGAGGAGGAGGAGGAGAGAGGAGGAGGAGGAGGAGAAGGAGCAGGAGGAGGACCGCAGGGATAAGGAGGAGGAGGAGGAGGAGCAAGAGAAGGCAGAAGAGAAGAAGGAGGAGGGGGGGGCAATGGAGGAGAAGGAGGAGGAGGAGGAAGAAGAGGAGGAGGAGGAGGAGGACGACGACGACGACGACGACGGCGAGAGAGAGGCCACCAGCTGGACTACGTGTTCAAGGCCGGGGAGCAACTGCCCGTGGCCGTCGTCGGTGGCCGCCGGCCCCGCACCGACACCGGCAGCTGGGACACCTGCAACTTCAGACGGCGCCGAGAGAGACACATGCTGGAAAAGATTCTTTCGCCGCGCTCGTCGTGCTGGTCCCCGCCCCCCCTTCGGAGGCGACGATAAGGGCGAATGGCCCACGGGAGACAATACGAGGCTCCTTGGCGAAAACGGGTAATGCCCGCCCCATTGGCTATTCGCCCCTATCGTCGCCGCCAACCCCTCCACTGTCCCCACCCCGGCCCACCCCACCCCTCACCCTTCTCCCATCCTCCCCCCCTCGCCCCCCACCCAAATATAACGATGAAAGGAGGGGGGCCTTGGTCCAGGCCGGACCAGCCCGCCGGCCGGCCGCTCCATCGGAGGCGCGGGCGGGAGACCTTTTTGTTCGATTGGATGCCATTGGGCCGATGATTGTGCCTAAGAAGCTACAGATCGAACGATCCGTGTTGCACTTGCTGCTACGCTTGCGGAAACTAGGGCCCGGCGTGGGGTGGGTAGCTCTGGGCGCGAAGGGATGAGACTAGAGCTCCGCTGGATCCCTCGAGCATCACTGAGGCGAAAAGAGAGGAGAAAAAATACCCACTCGTCCACTTGATGATTGATCTCCCAGTCTTATCTCGGCTCTCTGGCACCAGCGTCCCCTTCGCACCAGCAGAGCACTCCATGTCAGGACAGGGGTGTGCTTGCGGCGACGGCTCGCCTCAGCAGTCTTCGGCGTCTGCTGACGAGGACACGTGCCGTCTTTCCGGCAGACACAGGAATCGGCGATTCCCAGGAAAAGATCGGAAAACATGGAAAGTGGGGTGGAAGACGACGAAAACCCTGAAAATATTTGAAAATATAGGGGGATCCTGGGATTTGTCGGTATTGATGTGTGTGTGTGTGTGTGTGTGTGTGTGTGTGTGTGTGTGTGTGTGTGTGTGTGTGTGTGTGTGTGTGTGTGTGTGTGTGTGTGTGTGTGTGTG